TCCGTCTGCTTCCTCCTCCCCGGTCTGTCTTACCCTTGCCCTACCTTCTTGAGTTGCAACGGACTGTAGTTTCGCATTACAGAGATTTGTAAACGTCTTTCATTTTTTTTTCTTTCTTTTACAAATAATAATATTTTATTTAGCTAGAAAGTTAAAAAAAAAGACACTGAATAAAAAAATAGTTGTTGCTTGTGTCCTGCTTTAATGCCTTCTCTCAAGTCCCCGAGGCGCGAGTACAGTTCAGTGTGTACCCAAATGCGCCACTCAAAGGGGCACTCAAGTGGATTTTGAGATCGTCTATTTATTCTTGTCATAACTCAATCTACATGAACACCGAACAGGATACGACCGACTTTAATGTACCCACAACACATAAAAACGCCACCCTGGACACATACGCACTCGTCAGAGAATACTACCGCGCTAGCCGCCGAACCCTTCCACCTCCCCATCCCGAACTCACCCGGGCCGAGGCGATGGACTGGAGGCAAATCCAAACTGTTTCCTTTGCTAATTTCTTTCATAAACACTGTTGTTTTCCAACCCGCTACCCGGGCATTGCCCGGCATGCGGGAATCCCCGCCCCACAGTTTACCACACCGTCTGGGAATGCCCTAGCCCTCCGGGCAAGGGCATCACCCCCGCTCCTTCCCCTACCCCAACCTCCTGGAAGGCGGCCCTGTCCAGCCCAGAGCTCGTGGACCAGCGTCAGCTGGTTCAGCGTGACCGCCGGATTGGAAAAGCCAACGGAGCCCTAACCTTTTGAAAAATAAAGTTATATCACCAACACCACTCAATCCTACGAGCTCTAAGCATTCTAAGAAACCCGAAATCACATTCAAGAGCAGCCGATTTCCCTATTAAAAGTCTAATCGAAGATCGTACCGCGTCCCTCTTTCTGTGCCGTGGCACAAAACACTAGGGGGCGCCACCGGACGGGAAGGCAGCAGGGGAGGGCACGCGACAGCCGATCGCGAGTGACGGCTTCCCGGGCGGACTGATTTTTTTAATGCGCGCGTATTCGAAAATTTTCGTGTGGTGGCACCCCCTGGTGTCCTGCGCCGTGGCGCAGAAAGAGAGGGCGGGGGGGAGGCATGATCTTTGATTGAATTTTTAGTAGGGAAATCGGCCACTCTTGAATCTAATTTCGTTTTTATTTTTATTTTTTAGGATGCTTAGTTCCCATAGATTGAGTTATGACGGTAAATAGACGATCTCGGAATTCACTTGAGTGCCCTTTTAACGCTAATCAATTTCGAAAAAAAAAAAAGAGGCAATTCTGCATTTGTTTGAAATTAAGTGAATCCAAAACACAGGTCACAACCACTAATATTTCTATGCAATCAATGCTGCTAACATTCCAATGTCACACCGCAAACATCGTAAGTCACTGTGTTCAAAGTTTCTCGCGTCCAAGTCGTGCCACAAGCGGAGTGCGGATAAGGAAAATTCTCCGCACGTACTTGGAGTGGGGATAAGAATCTAAAATTACCCTCACTTGGTGTGCGGATTAGAATCAACCACTATCCGCGCTCGGAGTGCGAGTAGGGACAGCTTTTTGCAATACGGACATGGTTGAAAGCAGCGCGATACGATGGACTCGAAATTATTCTCAAGCGCATTTTGAGCTGACACCGAGCACATTTATCTTAACCAATTACCCCAAGTTTCTCAAGGTCAGTCATATATTTTTAGTCCCTTAGGAACAGTAGATTTATCAATGAATATCGCATTCTAAGGGCATGCCTTTTTTTTTTTTCTTTTTTTCTTGTTTATTCAAGTGAACGTTTTTTCACCTTTAGAGCGCAGCTCTTAGGCTTCTGTTTCCGGCTTGAGCGGCCTCGCGCGCGTTGCATTATGGGAATAATGTAAGCGGGCATAACCGCGCGTTCCATTATGAAAAACGTTCCGCTAAATTTAGCGGGAAAATTTCTCCGCTAAAATTTGCGGGAAATTTAGCAAAAATGTTCCGCTAGATTAGAGGGGAGCAGGAGAGGAAGAGCGGAGGGTACGGAGGGGGAGGAGGGGCATACCCTTCCCTAGGTATCCTCCCCTCCTCCTCCTCAAGAGCTGCGCTCTAAATCGGCATTATAGAGAATTATAAACGCCGTTGATTTTAGAGCGCAGCTCCTAGGCGCCCTTTTCCGGCTTCAGAGAGAGGGAGTGAAAAACTTTATTAAAGCCGCCCATGTCCGGGCAGTGGTTACTAGAGAATGAGGCCTTGAGCGGCGTCGCCGTCGCCGTTGGCCTAACCGCGCGCGTTGCATATTGGGAATCATGCAAGCGGGCGTAACCGCGCGTTGCATTCTGGGAAAACTTTCCCGCAAAATTTAGCAGGAAAATTTTCGTAAAGATTCCCCGCTAAGTTTAGCGTAAAAATTTCCCCGCTAAACTTAGCGGAAAATTTTCCCCGCTAAATTTAGCGGTAAAATGTTCCCGTTAAATGTAGTGAAAAATTACCCCGGTAAATCTAGCGGAAAAATTTCCCCGTTCAATCTATCGGGAAAAGATCACCGCTAAACTTAGCGGAACAAATTTCCCGCTGAATTTAGCGGAACAAATTCAGCGGAACAAATTTCCCGCTGAATTTAGCGGAACAAATTTAGCGGAACAAATTTCTCGCTAAATTTAGCGGAAAAATTTCACCGCTAACTTTAGCGGGAACTTTAGCGGAAATTTCCCGCTAAATTGGAGAGGTGCAAACGAAGAGGAGGGGAGGGGAGTAGAAGCATACCCTCCCCGCCGTATCCTCTCCTCCTCCTCCTCAAGAGCTGCGCTCTAATTCGGCATTACAGAGAATTATAGAAGTATTTTTTTTTTCTTTTACAAAATGATCAATTTATGTGCATACCGTTTTGAACAAACGAATTAGTTTTGCTATACTCTGTAACGTTAAAACGTGAGCCCACGGGAATCGGAAGCTATACGTGCTCACCGTTTCATTATCTGCCCCCATTCTCATACTGGTAACTCGTTAAAATACGCGCAGAGCTTTATCGCGTGGGGCAAGACAAGCACTTCACCGGTCCAGCGAACACAGCCTGAGATCTCTCTGCCAGCTTAGCAGGGGACGAAATAGAGTGGTGACAAACGGACTATGGTGGTAATTGTACCGCAATATTGTTGCTCCTTCTAAGTGGCTGAGCAGCTGAACTGGAAATGATCGGTGTTCAAAGTGCGTCGGGGGATTGTATGCGAAGCTATTTGAGAAAAAATGAGGTATGTAAAAAATATAGGTAAACAAAAAGTAGATGCCGTCTTGAAAGTTTATGGTTCTATTTCTGTAAAAGTTATCATATACTGTAAAGGAACAGTACTCGTTCACTAGTATCTTACGTGAGCCAAAAGAGTATTAAGAAGATAAATCATAAGTTGCGTTCTCAGAACAATGCGGTTATTGAACATATTTGTACCTAAATATATTTTATATTAAATAAATTCGACAATCCTTTTAGTCTAATCGAGTCATGCAAAAAACATATTTGTGCTTAATTTAATTGCCTATAGATATTGATAGCTAGAGTTACTGACAACTTAAGAAACAGAGGGCGTGGCGAGGACTATTCCATTACTGCTCCGCAGCCAGTGAGCATTCGCCGATAAAAATGCTCAAGAAATAATCACCGAGCAAGAAACCTAAAAACGCACGGTCTTTTCTAAACAAACATCATAGTTTGCAGCAAAAAAAAAAGAAAAAGTACAAGTTTGGTAAGTAGATCTAGGGTTTTTTTTATAAATGCCATGTTAAATAGTACTAAGCATACACAAGCATGAATGCTGAGCTTATATTATACGTTGAAGAGACTATGCAAGCAATCCAGGGTTCTTTGTTTTGTTTTTTACGTTACGAATTGGGTGCAGAACTCGGAACAGTAGCTACTTAAAGTTGCAAATATATTGAAGGCTCAACTCGTTCGGGGGCTCGGTATTAATTAAGTAATTAAACCGACTTCCAGAAAATCATTCCTATGTCCTGAAATACGACGTTGTTAGGTGAAACAAAGTAAGCACTTAGCAGGCCTCTGCATCTCGAATACTGACACCATTGAATCGCTATAACACGATTCATTTTCTTTTATCTAGCTACGATACGGTTAATAAAAGCATTGATACAAAATTAGTACAAGGCGTAGGCGTCACTTGCACGTCTGTCAACACCATCACACGAAATGGCTTTTCGATTACAAGAGAAAATCTCGTCACCTAAACTGCACTATCACTTTCTGTAGCATTTCATCAAAAGTCATCTTTCGTACTTCCTGTCATCACACACACAAAAAAAAAAAAAAAAAAAAAAAAAAAAAAAAAACGAGTAATGAATGACGAATCGATTTCGGCCTGAAACGTACAGCCTGGGTCCACCTCCACCTCCACCTCTAGAAAACACCTCTAGAAAAGAAACGATTGAAAGAAATTAGCAATCCAGGAAACATAATCTGAAGGTTAGCTATAATTATGGCATAAAATTGTGTTTTGTCGTTGTTTTTTGTTGTTTTTAATAACCTCCCCTTAGTTCTGAGTACTGTCTTGAATCGTCTACGATCGCAAAATATCTTGAACTGCAGTGACTGAACTCTTATGTATACAACTTTATTCGTGGCATCTGTACTCGAGTCATAGGTGGGACAACCAAATGGGAAGGCACACCATATCCAAACACCAAAAACGTAACCAAAACTTTTTGTTTTTTGAGGGGGGCGGGGTTTAAAATGCGTTTGTATGTTACAGGGTCGGCAGCATTTAGGGAGGAAACTGAAACCCCATATGCCCCCCTCCCCCCGCCTGGCTACGCTACTCAACTGACACCCAAAAAGAGCCGCTGCAAACCACAGATAAGCCTGCACTTACATCGTGTTCACGAGAGTGGTTCTCGTCAATAAGTAAAAAAGTATTGCACACAAAAAAAAAGCATAGCTCAGTTATAAACAGAAAGAAAATCGAAGGGACGAGAAGAACGTGCGTCACACACGTTGTGCGACCAGATCATCGTCGCTGCCTACCTTGTCGACAGTTGGAGGTGTGCCGAGGTCGGCCCCACCACTCACACGGAATCCCCATGGCTGGCTAGAATCGTCCCGCTTCAGGATGATCAAGAAGGGTCTCTGGAACGCCATGTCTTCAGCCGCCGTAACTCTTCGCCGCAAAACGCAACTCGCGACTTCAGCTCTCGGACTCGTTCAGCACCAAACTCTCTGTCGACAACGATTCTGCTTTGCAGGCCGGTTCGATTCGCACTTCTCGGGTTTCGAAGCGTTTCTGTTTTCTTCTTTTGTTCGGATGCGTATATGTCGCTGGCGGTGCCCTCTCAAGAGAGCCGCCTCTTCGAGCGCCGAAAATTTTTCGACTGTGGCTTCGGGTGCGTCTGTCCGTTTTTAGCGGGGGATGACGCTCAGGCGCGCAGACGCTTCCCGACCGCGAGGAGCCTGCCAAAAAGGTGTTGGAGGGTTTTGTTCCTTGAATGTGCTTTGCCCCTTTTTCTTTCTTTTTCTTTACTCCTTCTTGTCTCCCCAGTTTCGAACCGTCCGCCCCCTTCTCCTTCTGCTGTTTGCATGCGGTTGTAGCCACGAACGGATGCCGGTTTATCGAGGAACCTCGAATGGATATAAACAGAGCATCCCACGATCCTACGCACCGGCCTTCTTGAAGATCGTTGCCTCTCAAATTCGCAACACTTCTTTTTTTTATGTTGTTTTTTCGGGGGGCCGCGGCCCTTCTGGCGTTTAAAGAGCACGATCAAAGAAAGGGGAAGAGGAACATGGCAGCCATACAAGTTACGAGCCGTCCCCTGATTGGCTGCTGCCGATGGATCTCCGCCAATAAGCGCCGGAAGCCTGATGAGTGGCGGCCATTTGCTTGAGTCACGGACCCTAGGTTGAGCGGTGCATGCGCTGGAGCAACCCTTTTGCTGCCAGTTTCACGGATTGCACCGTCTGCCTCCGCGGGGGGTGTTCCATTTTCTTGCTGTTCTTTTGTTGTTTTCACCGTCGGCGCGGAAGTTATTGACATAACGCTCTGTTTTTACGGTTGATGCGTTCCTCAAACTGTTTACATGTTGTTGTATGTTTCTGCGGTTTTGCAAACTTTGCGATCACTGACCGCGAACTGCGCGGTTTCCTGCTGACGCACGCGAAATTCTTCCGCGTTCTCTTACGTATATCTCTGAACACAACTGCTCGCCTAGCCCGAAATATAGTAAGGATCTTCGTGTACCATAGAATGTTTCATTACCTTAATGTCATTATGCTGTGTCTGTCGCCATTGCAGAGAAGTTTCAAAACGCGCATCACACTCATCACTCTCCATAGGTCATACATTGCATTTCTAAAGGCGCGGATGATACTTGTTATAATCTCATAAACAAACTAAAGATGAAAGTCAAAAACACAGGCGAACTGGTGAATGGCTTTCAGTATACTTCAACGAGGCCAAAATGGGAAAAACGGACTTACATACACACCATCTTAAACTTCTGAAATAATTAATAAGGTTAGATTAAATAAACCCAAAAAAGAAACACAATCAGGCCATTTTTCGACCACGTGGTTTCTGCATGTTCCAACACTCCATCAAAAAGGCCTTTGCGTCCACATTTCTTAGCACGCGGGAACACGATCACTGCAAACGACGGAGGATCCTTGCGACATCAGACCTCCAAAAGAAACTGTAATGCGCAAGGGGAGTTTGAGGATTACCTTTTTTTTTGCTCATTGTCTCTACGCACATTGCGAAATTTTTAGGCATAATCGTGTTCTGAACTTAGTCATGCGCTGGGATCGTCCCGTTGTTTGCACGGATGGACTACATACGTGATCTGCGAAAACGTAAATAGCAAATTACTGAGCAATTGTGTTACACGTGAAAAGTTTCTTTATCAATCCGGAACTCGATGGTTTTTTTTTTGTTTGTTTGTTTTTTTTTGCCTATTTTTTTGGTTAGAGACCTACGTATAAAACCATTTGGTGGGCTAGTTGGCTGTACATCTTGGTAAAATAAGCGCAAAGGCAAGGCAGGAAGAACGTAGAGAAGCGCTCTATCCCAGTCTCTGCGTTCTTCCTCCCTTGTCTTTGCGCTAATTTTACCAAGACCCTACGTACACTTCGCGCTTTCCACTTTTGCTCGGCTCCCCCTTTCCTGTACCCTTTTTTACCTTGCCCCAACTTGACTCCCCTTGCAGCTTAGGGGAGGCGGAGCGCTAAGAGGATAATCTCCCTTGCAGAAAATCGAGGTTGTACGTCCGCCTTTAAGTAACTTCCTTTTTCAGCCAATCATCATCGAGCCTCGCGGCCTCACCTTTATCCCGGCTTCAGTTTTGGGCTTTCTCAAAATCTGAATGCCCACCTGACTAGACAAGGAACTTTTCAAGTTTATACAGACCTTTTTCTTTTTTTTTCTTTTGTCATTGTCATGGGACAGTGAGTACTCTTATTATTTAGTCCTCGCTAACATAAAAGCCGATACTTCGCCGGCACACACGCAGGCAGTAAAAAAAAATATATTTTGATGTCTCTCTCCGTCATTGAGTATCCCAAAACCTATGATGGGCTTTCTGCTAAATGCTATGCAAGGCTACTTGAATACCCCTATAATGTTGCTTGTGGTTATGGAACCTGTCATTCGGATAAACACAACCTCCGGCTTTTGTAATTTTCCTCGTAAACAGCACTGAAAGTGTTTGCCAGAACTTAAAACTTATGGAAACCTGGAGAATCACAATCACCGTGCCATCAGGAATCCATTTCGAGGTTTGACTAAAGTCCATCAAATTCCTAACTTTTATATTCAAGGGGCCACAGTCACCCGAGGTCTTGAAACGGGAAGCATCAACACCAAACCATATTTTCAGCTTGTTTCTTAACCCGTCCCATGAAACGAACGTGCATGTGTATATTCTCGACTTGGATGTCGATGCTCTTCGAAAGAATATCATGGCAGTCATTTAGGAATTGGCGTTGATTATGTTTATAACAGTTTTGGGTGAGCCGTTTTTAACGCAGAATGTGTTATAAGGTTGGATTTCACCTTTCTATCGCTCTTTCTTTTCTTTATGAAAAAGGAAACGTTAAATGATCGAATTGTTATACATTTTGGGCAAGTCAACACTAGTCCGAGGGCCTCAAAACCCAATGATAACTTATTACATCCTGGGAACTGGACAACTAATATTTCGCACCTTGTTTACAATAAATATTTAGGGCTGTCCCCATATGTGCATTTCATTGACTTGAAATGCAAAACCCAAAATTGTCGAGCGAGGTATTTCTGCCTATACTCCATGTCACTAGCTGTGTGCATTGCAGGCGGAGGCAACGCCCGTCGAGGAGAGAATAGGCGAGCACTAGGAAGGCGGAAAGGGAGCGGGGGAGGCAATAGAAGACAAGAGGACAATGGAAGAGCACTATAGAACGTTAGATAGTAGAGGATGTTTCCTTCCTCCTCCCCAGCCTTCCCAGTGCTTGCCTTTTCCCCCCTCGCCTGGCGTTGTCTTCGACTGTACTGCACGCAACTAGTCCGACGTACTTGGCGTCGTAATTGGGTTATGACGCGTCGAAGCGCGCCCAAAGCGAGTAAGACGGTGGCGCCCTGAGGCCCAACCTGCAAACGTGTAAAACTAGTAGTTGATGTTTCCTTCTAATCCGTTTGGAGTTCTCTATTCATTTGATCAAGCCTTTTATTTATTTTGACACGACCGGTTTTTAAGCCGTCACAAAAGGCTTAAAAACCGGTTTTTAGCCTCTCCGGTCCTAAGAAGTCGCCAGTGTGTGAACGGGCCTTTAACTAAGGACCATTCGGTTCACACACTTGCGTTTGGCTGCAACCGAATGAGACAAGACCGGCTTTTGAACCTCTTTTGACGACTTACGACTGGCTTCGCAGAAATGCATCCGGTCGTAAACTGTCTCAAGAGGCTTAAAATAAAGTCGTTAGCCGTAAGCATTCGCAAGTGTGAACACGCCTTTATTCACTTAAAATGTTTTTTTTTTTTTTTTTCAGAATTATTTTATTTGGAGAGCTCATATTCCGTACCAGGTTATACGTGTAATACGAAAATCACCCTGAGGAGCTCATCCCCTTTTGATCTCATTTGTGACGTATGCGAGGGGTAGCGGACATTTCATCAAACGCCGTTTCATCGAATGAATGGACAATTCATCGAACGCCATTTCATCGAACGCCGTTTCATCGAATCGCTAAGGGCCGTTTCATGGAATTTCTCTGTATTGAGTTTTGGGGCATAACAGTGCTTTATAGATGTTTTACCTTACATTTGTTAAGACTAAGGTAGTCACTTGTGAAACTGTCTTTAGGGCGCTTTAGAGTTGAGCCAAATTACTAGAAATAAAAACCATTGGTATAAAAACAAATGGGTATCCGACTTGCTGAAACGTTTTACTCATGTACCTGTCAGAAAACATGACACTGGAGGTAAAGGACCGACAACGAAAAGCATTTAACTGCCAGGGCAGCACGCTTAGAATAAAACGATGCTCTGCCAGGAGAGCACACGAAATAAAATATAATGATACTCTGATTATCAGCTTTATGCTCAAATTAAACGTTTCTGCTTTTTTTTTTTTTTTTTTTTTTTTTTTTTTAAAGTCTACAGAGTCAAGAGCTGCACAAAGTGTCAGCCAACATGGTTTCGGGCTACACCCGGACTGGAACCACCTCCCGTTCACTGTCAACTTTATTACCGACCCTTTTGCCTATGAATCATTTTCAGGACGCTTTCTTAGCAAGGCCAACCCGCACCAGACAATAGTAAAGCCCTGGGTGTACTCCGTCACCCAAGAAGACAGAACCCTTTCGGATCCTCACATAACCCAAGGTTAAAGGTACACGCTGTCAAACAATAAAACACTACCCGCTTCCCAGAAAGCACATCATGCTTTCTGTATTTTTTTTTGTCTCATTTTTAATTGTTTCATGTGGCATGGAGAGGGGTCATTGTTTCATGGAGGCTTTCTTCTCGAAGCAGGACATGTTCACAATGGAACTTATCTCGTCACTGCATACTGTGATTTAAAAAAAGGGAGAATTAGAGGACGTTGTGTATAAAAATAAAAATAAATTGCAAAAATATTGCAGGCTGTAACAGCGTTCGATGAAAAGGCGTTCGATGAAACGGCTTCGATGAAACGGCGTTCGATGAAACGGCGTTCGATGAAACGGTGTTCGATGAAACGGCTTCGATGAAACGGCGTTTGATGAAACGGCGTTCGACGAAATGTCCGGACCCAGTATGCGAGCTAGTTCATGAATGCGATGTGCATATTGGGACCAATTTCATCAAAAATGGGATTGAGCCCACAATGGCGAGATGAAACAGGATGGCAGAACCTTGCTAACAGAAATAAGTTCATTTAATTTCATTTCTATTATTTTGTCTAAAAAAAATCGGGAGTACAGCAGAA